GAACAATGTAATGGTATTTTTCCATTGACATGTATGGATAAAGTATTTACATAAAATGATTACAAGGTTGACGATGTCAGAATCACCAGGGACCAAACTGTCCATAAAATAAAGAACATCTTTAGATGTAAAAGGAGGTATATTAGAGATTTTAAGTGAGACCCAACTGTGAAAATCCGACCAGAACATCTGTAGAATCGATGAACTGTTGTTTCGTTTTCAGAGGAACAAAAAAACACATGGATCAGACTCAAATTTCAACATTTTATGTAGAAATTCTCCCACAGGTGAATGCCAGATGGTCACTACACAAAGCTCGTGACCAGAGATGAGGACAGGATCGTAGAAATCTGAGTGTAAATTGACACATTTGTGTTTGTATTACCTGTTTTGACCGCTAGGGGCAGCAGAGAAMGCTCATGCGTGCAGACGAAGAGTCACGTGACGCCGCTAACAGATCTCAGATCAGCTTTATTAGCATTAGCATGTAGCCTTCTGAATCACCTTACAATAACCCTCCCGCAGGCCGCAGGTGGTCCACGTGACCCCCCCCCCCCCTACGATTGACACATTTGAAAGAACTGACCAGAGATCAGAAGTTTGTGAACAACCGTCCGCCCCTTTATGGTTTTCACTTTTATGAAACCTGTAAGTACTTCCGGGTTGTCATAGCGGCTCCGTCAATGTCCAAACAAACATGAGTGTCTTGTATCAGAACCTGGGCTGCCGGTTGTTCCGAGATAAAGTTCTACAAACCCGAGCCGTCAGATCGGCACACAGTCTTATTCAGAGAGAAACCGGACCGAAACCGCGAGGACCTCGTTGTTACCGGGTAGGCAGCCGCTGCTCGCCRAACTCCATGAGAGAAATAGTCAATTTTAATCTTGTGTGGTTTTAATGTAAGTTTAAGGCTCATTTAACCCTGATTCTGAGTCCACTTTTATTAGTTCATACTGGCATAATTTTCTGCTTTATAGTTTATGACATAAATGCTGATTTTAATATTGAGAGAAATAAAAAATGCATTAAATCAATCTGATAACACCATATTTAAAATGAGACGTTTAATGAAAGTTTAACAAACTGTTGTTATCACGTCTTAAATAAACGTTTCTTTRTTTCCTGCTACCTGCCAGGTGAGTGTCAGCCAATGGCAGCCATGCAGAGCAGCCTGGAGGCTGAACCTGTGCAGTTCAAGGACTTTTGTCTCAGATCTTCCACCGCCTCCATCAGGAGGTAAATTCAAGGGTTTTGGGGTGAGTCTCACAGTTTTCAGCTAAATTAAACATTCAGCTAATTCAGCATAGCTAGTAATGTTTTCTTTATTGTTAATTTATCTTTAACTTTATTGTTTGCTTTAATGTTTTCCACATATAGCAGAAATATGCTGAGATCTCTTTTATTCCTTCATAATCATTGTTTTCTTTTATATCTTTAAGCTACTTTTCTCCTAATTTTAGCTACAGCTTTGCTACTTTTAGCTTTTACTCTGCTTCAACAACTCAGTTTTAGCTTCCTCAGCAGATTTTAGCTGTTGTTCTGGAGTTGTGTTAAAATAAATTGTGTTTTTTCTGTTCTTCCTTAAAGCCCGTCACGTGGAAATCTTTAGCGGTGACGTTTGCTGTCGGAGGCGCTCTGCTGGGAGGGATGAAATATTTAAAGAAAGAGAAACTGGAGTGTGAGTATTTGGCTGACGTGTGTGTGTGTGTTTGTGTGTGTGTGTGTGTGTCTGTGTGTGTGCGTGTTGGTGATGTTTTGTCGAGCTGAGCGAGTTTCGATCTGCAGTGATGGAGAAGGAGAGGAACAGATCCATCGGCAGGCCGGCGCTGGGCGGTCCCTTCTCGCTCATCGATCACAACAAGAAGCCCACGACGAACGAGGACTTCCTGGGCCAGTGGATCCTCATCTACTTCGGCTTCACGCACTGCCCCGACATCTGCCCCGACGAAATCGAGAAAATGATCGAAGTGGTGGACGAGATCAGTGAGAGAATCTGACTTTAATTTCACGAAGAGAAATTGCATTTCCTGTGAAAGTGTGGATGCTTCTTACTGAAACTTTAGCTGAAAGCTGCTGTTCGAGCGACTTCTTCAATTTGAACAGCTGAAAGAAGAAAAAACTACATTTGCAGAAAAACAGTAGAAAGGAGCAAAATATAGTTGAAATAGCAGAAAAAGCTAAAACAGCTGAATATAGCAGAAACGTGTAAAAAGCATAAATAGCAAAATTTAGCAGAAATAAACACAAAAATGAGGAAAAATCAGAATAGAAAGAAGCAGATCTAAAGCTGAAATAACGTAAAATAAGCTAAAATTTGCATAAAAATAAGCAAAAGGTAGCAGCTACAAGTTGAATCTAGCACCCAGACAGTGAAAGGGCTGTAAGAAATTATAAAATTAGCAGAAAAAGCTTCAAAGTAAAAAATGTGACAATTTGTAGTAAAATAGCTAAAACAGCTAAAATTATTAGTAAAACAGCTAAAATGTAGCTGGAAATTCTTAATTAGCATAAGGAGCACACGTTTGCTGAAATAAGTTTAAAAATTTTATTTTGATTTGTATTTTTTTTGTTTATTTTTTATTGTTTATATAGTATTTTTAATGAAACGAATAAATTTTTGAATTGAAAAAAGTGTATTTAGCTTAAAAAAGCTAACTTTAGCTAATAACAGCTGAACATTAGTTAGATTTGCAGCAAACAGCTGAATATAGCAGAAAACAACTGGAAGAAGCATGAATAGCACAAATTAGCAGAAAAACACTGAAAAATAGCAGAAATAAGCAGAATTTTAGCTGAAATATCAGACAAAAGCTAAAATTATCAAAAAAAGTAGCTAATATTTACACAAGAAAATTAAAAAGAACAAAACCAGAACAAACTGTGTCAGGCTCTATAAAGATTTAGAAATATTTTGATGGTTTTTAAGGATGCTGAAAATGGCAAAAAAGTGGCTAAAAAAGTGAAATAGCTGAAATATTAAAAGTCATAGCAGGATTATTATAAATGAGCTGAACGTTTTGTTACATGAATTGTTGAAATTGCACAAAAATTGTGGAAGGAGTTAGATGCTGAAAAACATSCAGAAGAAGCGTTTACACAATAATAATAAAAAAGATTTAAAGTAAAGTCGGTGAACTCTGCTGGTCCCTCTGCAGATGACATCAAGTCTTTTCCTCAGCTGACGCCCGTCCTCATCACCATCGACCCTGACAGAGACACTCCAGAGGCCTTGGCTGCTTATATTCAAGGTGCAAACGGCTCCAGAGCAGATTCTGGTTGAACGGTTCAGATCTTGTCTGAAGTCCACAGACTCATAAATGTCTGTTTCAGAGTTTTCCCCGAAGCTGATCGGACTGACGGGGACGTCGGCGCAGGTGGAGGACGCCTCCAGAGCCTACAGGGTCTACTACAGCCAGGGCCCGAAGGACGAGGACAGCGACTACATCGTGAGTCACGAGCCGCTGCTGTGGAGGGAAAGCTCCCGGCTCGGSTCTAACTGTTCACCTGTCGCCTGCAGGTGGATCACAGCATCATCATGTACCTGGTGGGACCGGACGGAGAGTTTGTCGATTATTACGGACAAAACAAACAGAGCACAGAGATCGTCGCCTCCATCGCGGCTCACATGAGGAAACAAAGGAACRGGAAGTGAAGAGCGGCTCGTTTAAACCTTTTCTCTTCACCGCTGCCGTCAAATATCCTGATTTTATTTCATATTTAAGAGTTTAATGTATAAAAACAGTCATGTTTCATTCAGCTGCTGGCCGATTTTAAATCAGTTCTTTTCTTTTTTGTAAAAAGCCACGTGTCTGGACTCTGTCAGCTGACAGGAAGTCAAGATGAAAACAAGGAGGATTAATTTTTGTCGAACCTAAAGAAGTTCTTCTTGTTCACATAAAAAGGTCTGGATTTGAAAAACTCTCTGAGGGACAATAAATGAGACCAAAGCAGAGTTTTTCTGTGATTGTCCTGTTTTTAACCTATTTAAACGTAAGGCTCCTAAAAACGAACTAGAGAATTGCATTTCCTGCAAAAATGCTAYTGTGAATGCCTGTTGCTGAAAACTTTAGCTGAAAGCTGCTGAAGAAGCTGAAACTGAGCTGAACATGTTTAATAAAAAAGTATTATTGCAAGTTAAACTTGAAAAGCTGAAAGAAGCAAAATATAAATATAAAAAAGCAGAAAATTAGTAAAAAGGAGCAAAAATATAGCTGAATTAGCATAAAAAGCTAAAAGCTAAATTAAATGAACATAGAAAGCAACTGAGAAGCATAAATAGCTCAAAACAACAGAAGTACAAAACAGTAAAAATTATCAGAAGAAAAACAAAGGGCTGCCATAACAGCTAAAATACTAGAAAAAGCTACAATTTGCAAAAAAGTTGCTAAAATTTAACTAAAACCAGCTTAACATTAGCTAAACATGCAGCAAATGGCTAAATACAGCAGAAAGAATCTGTAGGAAGTATAAATTGCACAAAGTAGAAAAAAGAATTACAAAAAAATTGTAATTAGCAGAGATAAAGCAGAAAGAAGTAGAATTTAGCTAATATAGCAGCAAAACAGCTAAAATTAGCATAAAAATAAGCTAAAGGCTTTAAGTTGAAAGCAGCACCCCGGATGGTGAAATGGTTGTAAAAAAATCTAAATTAGCAGAAAAAAAACCCATAAAACTACTAAAAAGTGATCATTTGTGGTAAAATATCTAAAACAGCCGAAGTTTTCAATAAAACAGTTTAAAAAGTAGCTGAAAACATTTTAATTAGCATAAGGATGCATAAGGAGTATAAGTTTGCTGAATATAGCCGGATTAAGTTGTAATAGCTACAAAAATTATGTATTCAGCTTAAAAAAGCTAACTTTAGCTAATWCCAGCTGAACATTAGCTAAAAATGCAGCAGTTACCAGATTGTAGTAGAAACCATCTGTAAGTAGCTTAAATAGCACAAATTAGCAGAAAAAGCACAAAGAAGTCGAAAAAAGCTGAAAGAAGCAGAATTTTAGCTGAAATAGCAGAAAACAAGCTAAAATTCACAAAAAGTCTAAAATTTGCATAGGGGAGTAAAAAAAGAGCATAACCAGAACAAACTGTAAGGTTTTATAAAGATTTAAGTTGTTGAAAACAGCTCCATTCATTTTCAATGGGGAAAAAGTGGCTAAAAAAGTTAAATAGCTGAAAATTTATAAATAGCAGAAATACCAAACTCACTTGAATGAGCTGAAYGTTTTGATACAGGAATTGTTGAAATAGCACAAAATTATGGAACAAGAAAGGTGCCAAAAAACACACGGAAGAAAAAATGATCTCAGTTTATGTTTCAATAAACCAAGTTTTATTTAATGATTCCTTAATAAAACTGGAAATATTTAGTTTTAAAAGCTTGGCAGTAATTAATAATAACTGCTATCAGAGAAAAGTAAACCTGAGATCCAATAAATACAAATAAAATCCATTTTAATGTAATGTATGACATTTTCCACAGAGAGGCTTTGATGGTTCCTGCAGCTGGTATTGATTTATTAAACTGGTTTCCAGTTGAACTGCTGCTGTTTGCTGCTGCAGAAACTGGAGGCCCTCTGTGTCCGAGCGACGACATTATTCCTGCAGGAAAACGGGCCGGCTGAGCTCAGACCGCCATCAGACGGAGATCCGGATTGATTCCAGGATTATTTTTAAAACCCAGTTAGGTTTTAGTTTCAGTTGATCTGGTTTTTGTTCTAAAGAAACAAACTGATCGTTGGAGGACTGCACATCACCCCATCGGCAGCTTTCCCTTAAACAGACCAACCTCCCAAAGCAGCCCTCACAGGTGGGATCTTCACTCAGGACGAGGAGGTGATGTAATAAAGCACAAAGTTTTCTCATATTGTTTTTGTAAAGATTTTATTGAGTTAAGGCAACATACAGCCGCTATCACACGCACACRCAATATGCTAAGATACATTTTTAAAGTCACAATGCGTCAAATTATAAAAGAACTGCTGTACTTTGGTGCCCTCTAGTGGTAGAAAACAGCTTTGTAACGGATTATTTTTGTAAAAAAAGGGATAGGATTTAAAATATAATTTTAAAACCTAAATGCAGAAAGTGACTTTAAAAAAGGTACTTTAGGTTAAGAGTATGTTGCAGACTAGCTCAGTTCAAACACAGCAGGTATTTATGTCTCTGCTGCAGTCAGTCCTGATCACTCTCCGCTGTCTTTAGCCTGGAAATTAAAAAAAAAAGTCATTTATTACTTTAAACTTATAACGATGTTCACACAGATCATTCTGCAGCGAGGTGGCGGCCATGTTGAGGGACTGATTTCTGTCAGGAAGCCCTCAGGTTCCACATCAGTCACCTGTAAATGTCTGAAAGCTCAGGGTGTCAGAGGAGAAACACACCTTGCCCACGTCCCGACTTTTGACTTTCATCTTATTGATCTGGGATTCAGCAATGTCGGCTCGCTCCTCAGCCTCCTCCAGCTCGTGCTGCACCTTCCTCAGTTTAGTCAGGTGAACGTTGGCCTGCTCTTCCTGTCAGAAACCAAAGAAACCGTCAGTGAGAATCAACAGTTTGTACTTATTTAAAGAATAAAAGCTTCTCACAGCCTCTTCGGCCTGACGCTTGTAGACTTTAACTTTGAGCTGCAGTTTGTCCACGAGCTCCTGCAGCCTCAGCATGGTCTTCCTGTCCTCCTCACACTGGTTTGTGGGAACAGAAGGAACATCAGGGATCCTCTTATCTTTCAGAACTGAATATTTCAGGTTCTTACCTGATAGGTGACTTCTTTGATCCTGCGCTCCAGCTTGCGCACACCTTTCACCAATTCTGAGCCGTGTTTTTGTTCTGCTTCAAGCTCCGTCTCCAGCTCTCGCACCTGCAGTGAGAAACCAGAACCTGCATGAGAACCGAACCGTTTCTCGTCAGCAGCGAYCCACGTTTTACCCTCGCTTCCAGCTTTTGGAGCTGCTTCTTGCCGCCCTTCATGGCCAGGTTCTCAGCTTCGTCCAGACGCTGCTGCAGGTCCTTGACCGTCGCCTCCAGGTTCTTCTTCATCCTCTCCAGGTGAGTGCTGGTGTCCTGCTCTTTCTTCAGCTCCTCGGCCATCATGGCAGCCTGAGACGTGGAGTTACACGTCAGAAAAGCTGAGATTTTATAAAAACGTTTTCCACATTTTGGACTAAAACATCTCACTGTTAAACTCTTGAAAGAAAAAGGCCAGTTTAGAGACAATCTTTAATCAATGTTCTCACCACCTCAGTGAGTGTCTTCAGTGTTTTTATTTACTTGTGTCGACAGAATCCAACAGATAAACCATAACTATTTATCCCTTTGAACAAATTTGTTTTGACCGAGCCACGCTTACATCAGTGATGGCCTTCTTTGCTTTCTCCTCAGCGTTCCTCGCTGCTTGGAGGCTGTCGTCCATCTCACTCTGGATCTGAGACAGGTCGGCCTCCAGCTTCTTGCGGCTGTTCAGCAGGCTGGTGTTCTGCACAAACGTGTCGATGCTACATCACATAAAAACAATAAAACCTGCGTCTCGCTGAAAACAAGTGAAGCTGCAGAACTGTACTGTTGGTCGTGCACAGTGGTGGGCACCAGCCCGCTGAAGCACAAATACGCTAAATGCGGACCTAAATATTTCATTTGCACTTTAGCGTTTTTACTAATTTTTATAATTCATAAGCGGATTTGCACTTTCTAAAATTAAAATGCAGTATCGCTAATAACTAATTATCTAGCAGTCATCATTATCTTGAACAGTGTAAGGTATGGCTGTCAATGAATCACAACACAYGTGATCTATCCAACAGCACCCCTCCCAAATAAACACACCTATTGTGAAGGTATACATCCTGCTGACTGTTGCTTTGGGTCAGGGTTCTGATTTCCCACAATGCTTTGTGTCTGCTTACGTAGCAGGAAGACAGTGTTTAGAACTCCCTGTCCCAGCTAAAACAGTTAACGTTTGTAATCCATACTATAATTTTGTATGTATTGATTTATTTTACTTTACAATCGGAGCTCCTTTTCTAAACAAAACAAAACAAAACATTTAAACACTGGAGCTCAATACTTGACGTAATTGGTCGAAGCAACGGTTTTAGAGATGCAGAAATGATTTAAAGATGTTATGCTGATGAAGACTGACATCTAGTGGTCAAGGGAGCAACTACATGGAAAACTTTAAAATCCAAGCTCTTATTAAAGGAAGATAGTTTCTTGTACTCCGTGATTTCGTTTCCTGTCGCAAATCAAATCCGTCATGTACCCAGAATGCATCGCTTCAGTTTTCCAACAAACAGTTTTAAAATTACTTTATTGATGCTTCTTTAATGAAAAATCTACAACAAACAAAAGACAAAGACAAAGAAGCAGCCAAACTAGCAATCCTCAACAACTTTTTAATTTTTACACCAGGAGCTAAAGGTCTGTTTCATGAAATCACATCCACAGCAATCGGCAGTTGTAGGATTAAGCTTTAAAAGGTTCATTCACCACTAGTTGGCAGTGTTGTGCATTTATAGTACCTGAATTGTTGTCAGCTAGTAAGTGTCTAATTGAACTTGCACCTTGTAGCTTCCGCTAGTTTTTCTATGGTATAAGTGCTTTTGAGGTTGTGGACCTAAATATTTACACAAGCGCTTTAGAAATTGTGGAGCTAATTTTTGGATTAGCGCTGCCCACCACTGGTCCTGCACATGATTGTTATAGCTCTAAAAGCTGCAGAACTGCAGTGTTGGCTGTGCACATGATTGCTGCGGTCCTAAAAGCTGCAGGATCAGAACCTGTGCATGAAGCAGCTGAACTCTCTCGCTGGCGTCTAGCAGCTCCTGCTCGGCGAGCTTGCGGCTCCTCTCGGTTTGCTCCAGTGCTGCTCGGATCTCCTCCACCTCGGCCTGCAGGAGGTTGTTTCTGCGCTCGGTCACGGCGGCCTGCTCCTTCAGGTCATCGTTGCTCCTCAACACATCGTCCAGGTGGATCTGAGCCTCCTGAAGTAACGAAAAACAACAATTAGATTTGTGAACCCAGCTGGGTTCTCCTCTGGCTGATGACCCACCTTCAGCTGAACCTGGATGTTCCTCAGCTGTTTCTGAGCTTCAGCTGCCTGCCTGTTGGCGTGGCTCAGCTGGACCTCGATCTCGTTCAGGTCGCCCTCCATCTTCTTCTTCACTCTCAGGGCGTCGTTTCTGCTCCGGACTTCAGCATCCAAATGACTCTGCATGGTGTCGACGGCTCTTTGGCTGCTCCTCTTCAGCTGCTCCACCTCCTCGTCCTTCTCCGCTATCTTCTTGTCCACCTCGGACTTCATCTGGTTCAGCTCCAGCTGGACCCTCAGGATCTTGGACTCCTCGTGCTCCAGAGAGGCCTGGGGGGAAAAGGATTAGAAACAGAGCAGGAGGAAATGTAGATATAATAATAATAA